TCCAGGCCCCTGCCTTCACTAGCAGGACCAAGTACTGATTTTGCCCCAGATCCCTAAATGGCCCCCTTAAGGATTGAACTCTCAACCCTGGGTTTAGCAGGCCAATGCTCAAACCACTGAGCTATCCCTCCTCCCCTATCTTAGTATCAAACAGTTCTACATTTGATGCACAACAGCATCTTCTACAATCCCCAACTGCATACAGTCTGCCAAAAGCTTAGGCAGAAATGGGACAACTACCAGTTTTGGCAAGGAGGAGAAACGGCAGAAGAGAGAGTAGGAAAATATTGTTTGTGGGTAGGGGGCGTGTACACACCCACTCTTTTTGTGATGGAGGAGAGATGTATGAAAGAAGATAGGCAGTGCAGAGAAGAGGAAAGGGGAAGAAGCTGTGGGTGCAGCTGCTGGCTGAAGACAGTAGGGTAAGTTTCCATGATTCTAGAGCTACTTTAGCTTAGCTTGTGATTTTATGCTACATGCTCAGAAAGTGGTGAGGTTGCTAGCAGTGGTCCTGGCTCATACAGAGGGTGAGTTTGGAGCACCTCCGATGCAGCCCCAATAGATATATTAATATTTGGCTCAGCACCTGCAAGCTTAGCCCCTTGTGCTATCAAAGGAGGAGATACCAGCACCTGTAACAGAGGCACAAAGTTATTATTAATCATGTTTATTACATTGTTGCCTAAGGAGCAACCAAGAATCCCTCCCACACGCTTGTGCTAGGCACTGCACAGAGCAGTAGAAAGGCCCTGCCATGAGACGCTGACAGATAAATAGATGAGACAGACATCCTCGCTCTTTGTTTTTCCTGTGTGCTCCCAAGCATTGCTGAGTGTGACCTGTGCTGTCTGTTAGGTGCCCACAGGTCTGAGCATGTGGGAGTTTAACATTATGCACCAGCAGCCTTTCCTGGGGGTTTCACTGCAGATAACAAGTTTATCTGACAGACCCTCACAGTCTGGTTCAGAGGCTGCCATGTGATTTGCATAAAATATAAAAGTGAAGTCATGGGCTCCAAAAAGGAAAAATTGGGCAACTTTTATCTCAGAAAGTCTTAGCTAAAACAGCCCCAGTTCAGCTGCTCTGCATAAAATCTAGATTCAGGACAAAGCAGGCTAGGTTTGAATTCACAGCTTGTAGAAATATGAGCTATT